ATCAAGAGTACTTCATTTTTGGGAAATACTTGACATATACATGGGCATGGTTTGGGGGGGCAAGGGAGGCAATTGCCCCCCTGGCTTTTACGACTTTACAACGCGTAATGGCTGTATGTCACAATACTAAATTAAGTACTAAAATTAAGTTATTAATTTAGAACTAAATTTAGAACTAAAAATATATTTTTCCTTTTGCAACGATATCAATTTTTCGAACTAAATTAAGTATAGGTGCATGCGCATTGACGTATTATTACGTGAAATTAGCACAGAAATGAACTATTCTGTGTAAATGAGACAAGTGAATTAAAAGATGTTTTTATTATGACTTGGACATTAGTTGACTTGACAACAACCAAATGCAGCAATGCAACTAAAAACTACGAAAAAACACAATAAAACCTACAAAATCAAATACAAGCGAAATTTATCCAAGGCGATAAAGCAATAACAGTTGCTGTGTTTTAAATTGTAAAAATACTAGCAGAAAAAACAGTGTAAATTATATAAATTTTCAGTAGCAAAATGGAAATTAAATCAAAGAAATAAATGGATAGCTGTACAATAAGAAGAAAAAAACCTTTATTTTTGTAATAATAACAGTATTACTGGAAATAGTAGACATTAGAAAATTGAAAGGTTTTAAATAAACAATAAATTATTATTATTTTACAATGTTGTTCAACATCCCTTAACTCTAAGGATTAGATTTCTGCCTTTGATTATTGTATGTGTTATTTTACAATGTTGTTCAACATCCCTTAACTCTAAGGATTAGATTTCTGCCTTTGATTATTGTACGTGGCTGAAATGCAATCTTGTGACTTATTGATAGAAAACCAATTTTAATCATTAATTTCTATGGGTTCTTTCGAACTAAAAATAAAGAAAATATAAATTACAATCGCAAATTTACCATATTTTTCTTTTATATCACACCTTCTGTTTGTTGTTTAAAAATATGTGTTTTAAGTTTCTTGTTTTTTTTTTATTTTAGTTATTTTATTTATTAGAAACTTTTGTTAATTTGTATTGCTCTTTTATTTTTCATTTTCTTTTTTTCTTCAACAAATATAAATTCTAATTATTTTCAAAATTTTGCCCCTCCCTATAGAATTCTGTAACGACGCCCATGGACATATATGACATTTTTCCTCGTTTATAAATATTTGTGAGTTTCGTTATACCCATATAATAGAATTCCATATAATTTCGGTTTACTACCTTATATACAAACAGTACATTATAGCAAGTTACAAAAATAATAAGTACCTATATAATATCCATGCAAATATTTAACAGCCTATATAGGTACAGTCACGAATAACAAAATTACATCTATTAAACTATGTATAATATTCATTATTTAATAGATAATATGTATTTTTAAGATATTCCCTGACCAAAAAACACATTTTAAGAATATATCCCTTTAATTTTCTTTTATATTTGATGGTATCTATATACAGGGTGTCTGTAAAATGTCTTTACAAAAACATACCACATATTCCTTAGACCAAACTAAGTCGATTAAAGTAAAATTACCTTAGTACAAAGTTGCTTCGTTTGGGCTCTAGAGGTCCTTGAAGTTACAATATTTAAATCGTTTTTCCCATATAAATTTAAAACTGCATATGCGATTTTGCTAAAAATTTGGTAAGTTAGTAGAGTTTTATGTGGCAAAAAAAATGGTATTAAAATTTTGTCCGATAATAATACATAGGCGTAGGACTTGATTTTTTAAATAATTGCTCCTTTAAAAATTCTACGCCAATGGAAGAAAAGGAATTTGAGTATGAAATTTTGATTGCGCAACTCATTTACTTTAAAAAAGGTACTCTTGATAAGACTCGATTACTCTCATGGTTTTCGCTAAATTTCTGTTTTAATAATTTAGAGTGTATAGTTTTCACAAAAATATTTATTTACAACATAATCAAAATAGAGATTTTACAAAAATTGTTCAAAATGTTCACCATTTTCACGCATACAAAGATTTATACGTCGAAGAAAATTAAAATGTATCCTTTCCATAACTTCTTCATAACCTCTAAGATTGTTTATTGCATCTTGAATACGTTGCCAGAGTTGTTCCTCATTTTCTACAGGTTCCCTGTAAACTGTGGATTTCAGATGTCCCCATAAAAAGTTATCCATCGGTGTTAGGTCTGGGGAACGTGGTGGCCAGTTTACAGGTGCGTCATTACCTCTGCCTATCCATTTGTGTGGATATTGTTCATATAAGTGTTTTCTAACGTTTAAAGAAAAATGTGCTCCATCTTGCATAAACCACATATCTCTCCGAAGTTGGAGAGGTAAATCTTCTAACAATTCTGGCAACGTATTTTGTAGAAAATCCAAATTATTTTCTCGAGTTAATCTTTGTGGAAGTATGACAGGACCAACAATAAAATTACCAATTATTCCAGCCCACACATTAATTTTGAATTCGTGCTGAAAATGGTTTACCTTTATTGCATGCGGATTTTCAACGGCATAAACATGTTCATTATGGGTATTAGTTATACCTCTTCTTGTAAAACCCGCTATATCGGTAAAGAGATCCTTCTTGACAAAGTTTGGATCTCTTTCTCTTTGCATATCAACAAATCGACAAAAACCCAAACGAATTTGAGGATCATGGACTAATAATTCTTGTACTGGCTTCTTATGGTATGGATATAGCAATTGTTCTCTAAGCACTTTATAAACGACATCTTTACTTACTCCTAGTTCCCTTCCAATTCGTCTGATGCTTAATTCTGGATCATCTTCAACACGTTTTAAAATGTCTTCTTCAACTTCAGGAATCCTTACAAAACGTTCTCTTCCATTATCAACAGTGTTGGGAGCAAAGGAACCGGTCTCCCGAAGACGTCTCTCAACAGCAGCAAAAGTTGGGTGGCTAGGTACACGACGATTTGGAAACTTTTCAGAGTACACCCTGACACTCTCTCGAGTATTTCCTTTACAAAATCATAATGTCAGTAACATATCTGTGTATTCTGCATTGGTATATTGTACAGCCATATTAATTAACCACGCATTTGTTTTTTTAATTATTGAGTCAGATAGAACACTTTCAATCGTTAACAAGAGATTAGGTGTTAAAACTTGACAATATTTTTATTTAGATGAAACTATGGAAACCAACAATAAATGTTTTTGTATACGTATTGCAGGCAAATAATTAATATTCCTTAAAAAATCGTACATGGCAAGAATCGAGTATTTTTGTTAAAAGTCTCGATTAGAGGTGTTGAAGAAGATATAAAAAAAGTACATTTTTATGTTTTTCATCGTATAAAATTTTGTCCGATAATAATGCATAGGCGTAGAACTTGATTTTTTAAATAATTGCACCTTTAAAAATTCTACGCCAATGGCAAAAACGGGTTTGAGTATGAAATTTGGATTGGGTACTCATTTACTACAAAAAAGTACCCTTGATAACACTCGATTTACTCTCATGGTTTTGACAAAGTTTGTATTTTAATAATTATTGTTTATGTTCTAAAATTACTAAAATGCAAATTTCCTCAAAACCATGAGAGAAATCGAGTCTTATCAAGTGTACTTTTTTTAAAGTAAACGAGTTGCGCAATCTAAATTTTATACTCAAACTCCTTTTCTTCCATTGGCGTAGAATTTTTAAAGGTGCAATTATTTAAAAAATCAAGTTCTACGCCTATGTATTATTATCGGACAAAATTTTAATACCATTTTTTTGCCACATAAAACTCTACTAACACACCAAATTTCAGCAAAATCGCATATGATGTTTTAAATTTATATGGGAAAAACTATTTAAAAATTGTAACTTCAAGGCCCTCTGAAGCCCAAACGAAGTAACTTTGCACTAAGGTAATTTTACTTAAATCGACTTATTTTGGTCTAAGGAATATGTGGTATGTTTTTGTAAAGACCTTTTAGAGACACCCTGTATATATACTGTGGAACAGCCAAATGGAATAAATTCGGTAACCAACAAAATGGGGGCGTGTTTGAAAAAACGCTCGGACACTTCAATTGGTATTTTTAGTTGCGCATTTTTACAAAAACTTTTTATACAAGGTGTTTCATGTAACTGTGGCCAATACCAACTTTCTTATTTTAAATGCAGCACCCTATATATATTTTTCAATTTTTGGATTTTTCAGAAAATTCTAGACATATTTTATGTACTAAGTCTCATCATCACGAAATGGGGGGTGAAAGTTGGTATGGGAGCACTAATTTTTTTGAAGGTAGAAACATGAAAATTGGGATTGTAGCTACTCATCATAAATAAATAATGACTTATATCAGAGTTTTTGCATTTTTATATTTTAAGGGGGGAAACAAAGGGTAATTTTTAGGAATCAATTTTTTAAAGCTAGGAACTTAAAAATTGGAACTGTAGCTACTCACCATAAATAAATTATTATTTCAGTGTTTTTGAATTTTTATATTTTAAGGGGGGAAACGGGTGGTGAAAGTTTATATTGCTATTGGAATGACCAAATATAAATGGTTTGAGATTTTGGTTGGCACAGTTACATAATACTACGAATACACAAATTCTGAACTGTTATGTACTGCTGTTGGAACAAACCTTTTGAGGAGACATCTCAAGAAACATATAGACATGTACAGTAACATCTCCTTCCTTCTCCAGATGGTCTACGGTTTGTTTTATTCATGTTTCTCCTTTTCATGTTTGTTTATTGCAAATGGTCTTGTCGAGAGTATCTTAGACATCACAACGTTAGTCTTTAGTAGAATATTTTCATATATTTTAGAAATTCTTATAGATAATAGTAAGTGGTTAAGTACTCCCTCTGAAATGGGTATATATTTCCAATTTCAATGCCATATTGTTTAGGCATACAATACGATGAATTGAGTTACGGCATTGTAGTCTTCTTTTGGTTTCCTTTAGATCGCCAGTCTAGTCATATTTTAATCAATTCGTGCTTTCATCCATCTATATCTAACGTATTTTATTTTTGTTTCAGGAAAAAATGAATAAATATGAACAGTTCAACGTTAAGTACAACAAGCAACACTATGACATATACGAATTCTTGAACAATCATCCGGGAGGTACAAACTATGTTCAACTGTACAAAGAGAAGGATATCGCAAAGCCGATGGGCTTGTATGATCACTCTAAAGCTGCCTTTTACCTTTTAGAAGAATACAGAAAAGGCGGGAGGGAGAAAAGTAATACAGAAGAGGATTTAGAGGTAAAGAAAAAGGAGAAAGACATAAAATAGTGATAGATAATAATATGCATTATTAAATTATTTAATTATGACAGGCTAAATAGCAAAAACACGCCAATAGAAATATTTAACCTATACATTGTCCAGTTAGAGGTAGTTAGGGCCATTGAAGCCGAGTCATTAAGAAATAATTAATAATAGGAAAACATAATTTTAAGCCTCGCTTATTTCTTAACTTTGTGCTTGACAAAGATATGTTTTGTATTTTTAACTTTAAATTGAAAGGAATGTATACCCGATGAGTTCAAATTCCCACCATTGATAGATAGTATGACCATTCTTCTTTTTTTTTGTAGCGGTTCGAATTAAGTGAAAAAAAAATTTCCGTTACTTATTCTCCTCAGTTTGCGTAGGGAACCCGGGATAACTTCATTAACCAGTTGACTGGTAGACATTTGATTCTGAAAGTAAATAGCAGTAAGTTAACAAGCCACGCAAAATAAGATATTCACAATTTTTCGAAAGAGGAGGACTTATCAAAAAATTTAAATAAAAACGTTTTACTGTTTTCGGAATGTTGATCATTATCACTTGATTTTTCAGCTAGTGATAGCATTTGTTGGACAATGTCCAAATCATTTGGTATGTGGCTTGTAAGTAGTGCTTATTTTCTGAGAGTAAAAATAAAAATACCGTTATTTGAAAAGTGTGACTTATCAAGTTTTTACAATAAGCCTTTCAATTTAACACAATAAATAGATTTGAAACTACACGTTATGTATAATAATAATAATATTTACAGATTTAAAATAGACAAATAATATCAGCATGCAATGAATAAATATTTGCTAATATATTAACGCATTTATCTTATTTACAGAGATTCGTAAATTGGAATGAACCAATGTTTAGTCAAGTAACAAAGCTAGGAACCAATTACTACAAATGGGTGACGTCGCCAGTTGATAGAGATCTCAGATTGTTCGGGAACCCAATATTGGAATATTTAACGATAACACCATGGTATCTCGTACCCGCCATTTGGATACCTATTTGTATATATTTTGTGATAATAGGAACAGAAAAGTACGCACAAATTACCAAAGGTATTTCATATTTTAGCAGGAACGTATGTCACTTAAGATTTTTTTATGAATCACTGAAATATTAGGTAAACATGACATAAAATACTATAAAACTCATCAATCATATCATCAATCAATCGTCAATCGAAATCTGTTTACTGATAATAGATGATCAAGATATGATACATAAATTAATAGTAAAAACATTTTTAAAAACAAGCTTTTGTTTAAATGCTCTAAAAGGAAAAAATAAACTTTAAATTAAATCAAACCCATTAATTTATTACATTATACAATTTATATGATATAAATGCTTGTTGGGAGATCTGCCCAGCGTTTGTAAAATCTAGTAACTTAAGTTACTAGGTTATAAAAAATTACTGCATTTTTGAAACAAGAAGTCAAATTTACCTCTAGCAACTATTTTTTTTTCTTTTTTATATTATGTTGGGTGTAGTAAGACTATCTCTATTCCTAGTAACTTCTAAAAACTTTTAGGTATCATGAAGCAAAATATATCAAATAAAGTTTTGATTTTTTTTTTAATATGCTATCAGTAGCAGCTAGTAACTTAAGTTGCTAGGTTTTATGCAACGTATTTTCTAATGCTAATCATACAGGCTGGCGGGCATTTTTTAAAGTTGGTATGTTTTAAATAATCAATTTTTGGCTTTATGTGTAAATTAAAAGGTAGCATACTATGTTTTAGTAAGTTTATTTTCTTGCAGTTTTAATATAGAATATGATGAACCTATCTCAATATATTACTTTTTGCTGAATTATGTTTTAAGAAATATGCACACTCCCGAATAAATTATCTGCATTTTAACTGGATTTTATTGGATACTCATCGTCAGGGTGCATAAAAAATATCTAGTCCGCCATCTTTGGGAGTCCGCCATATTGGCTTTAGAATGGGCACTTAGTTAACCATGCATTGTCATGAAAACTAAACGTTTATGAAAAATTTCAGTTCAATTACTTTGAGATAACTGGTTTGAAAATAATTTGTCAGATTTGACCTATATACAAGCATTGCATGTTAAACAAAAGCTTCTGAAAAAACTTCTTATTACCATAATCTGCTTACAAATATAGACAAGAAATGCTTACTCAGAATCATACAGAGTTTTACCCAGTATCCCATTATCAATAATAATATTGGAAAGTTAATTTATTGCAGTTCTAAAATAATACATTTTAAAGCTTATAACTCGAAAATGGAAAAGATATCGACATAATTTCTCTAAAATGGACCGTGTTCGAGATATTTGAGAAAATGTGTAAATATCGAATTTTGAAAAAACTCAAAAACGGATAGAGGAAAAAACATTAAATATTAAACTTAAGTTTTATTTCGGCCTGGGGTGAAATGATCAGATTTTGAACAAACGTCTGGGGTTTTTTCTCCTTTCCACTAGGCGAGCCTGAAGATGAAGTGATGACACTTCGAAACCGGTCGCACTCAATGTTTTGTTAAACAATTAAACATTGACTTTCCTTATGAGATATAAAGGACTTTTTCTCCCCCTTCACCTTAAAATTACCTCAACTCACACATGGCTACCCCCCTTGTCAATTATATTTATTATTTTTTTAACATTTTTTTTTTAATTAAATAAATATTTTTATATTTTAGTGATGATAGTGTAGGTATCACCCCTCTTGATTGCTTTAACGCCCCCCATTTGCCTCTGCATCTGCTACCTCCCCCATAGAAAGTTTCAGTACCCACTGGGAGGCGATATCGCCCCGTCGGAAATGTATGCTCTACTATTTATACATTAATACTGGGACAATATTTTTTTTATTTTAGATTAGACTCGACAAGTGTTCCTTCGATATCTTCTGAGCATTCCTAAATAAATTAATCCATCATTTACCTACCCATCTTCTCCACCGCAATGCAGTACGCAGACATTTTTCTACGCCCATATTACATAACTACACTTCTTCTATTGCCGATTAGAAAATGATGTAAATTTCCTTATTTGATAATTCTATTAATATCATACTCGTAGTAAATGAGTATCATTCCTTACTCACTAAACAATATACCTTTATTATTTGATATTTCCAACTATTATTTGTCTAGACTCTAGATTCTACGAACAGCATCGTGAAAGTCAATCCAAGTTTCATTACAGTAATAGATCAATTTAATATTAATTTTCATAAATATATTTAAAAATTACATTTCTAATATAATCATTGAATATATTTTACATAATTAACCTCGTTTAGAAATCAATTAGATAATAGAGACCTCGAAATTTTATTTAAGATGGTATTTTTTCCATATTTGATTTAATTCTTAATAAAATTATTAAAAAAAATAGATAGAGCGGATCTCGATAGTTTATTTACTATTCAACCGAAAATAGTAATAAACTTATACAGTGTGGAAAAGCCAAATGGAATAAATTCATTATTTCGATTACTGTACATATTTATAGAAAATCCCGAAACACGTCAAATTTAAATTATAAATTGACATTCCTAAAAGTGAAAATGTGATCCCTACCTTCAAAGCCCTTTGAGTAACAGTTGCAACCCCTAATTTTTTAAATGGGAAGTATAGGCTTGTGATATATCGTTTGAAAGGTCTCTTCGTTCTCTATCCAAAAATGTTATTGTTTTTAAATTTATTGCAAAAATTAACATAAAAAAAAATAAAATTATCTTATTACCGAAATTCTCTAGAGTACCTACACTACTATTTCCCGTTTCAGTCTTTATAATAAGTAAAGACCGGACAATTTAATTTATTCTTATCAGCGAAGTAACGGTAAGAGCGGACCTTCGATTTGAATAATACATTCTGAATAAAACAAGTTATTTACTGAACTGGTCGACACAGTAGATAAGATATTGGATTTTTATCGCCCGGGCGTAACATTTGGGGCGGGCTTATTATTACATTTACATTGCAATAATTATTTTATTAAATTTTAGTTCAAATTTGGTTGGATATTATTATATAATTACAAATGATATTATTATTTATTTTTTTATTGTGTTGTGGGATAATGTTGTTGGCTTTTTCTGTTAATATATTATTGACTAATAAATATATCAACGAGGATACACCATCATTAGTTTTATGTTTAGAGTGTTCCAATATACACTCTTTATCCTAAAGTAGCAAATATACAATTATATACAATATATACAATACAAATTAATATCAATCTTCTTCATTTGAAAAATATGTTTGTATGACTGCATATTTTTCTAAATTGTCTTCAGTGAAATTACTTCTTTTAGAAGTCAATAAATCTTTAAACCTAGAAAACGATCGTTCTACGTCACAACTCGTTACAGGAGCAAATGAAAAATGTGGAACAAAATCACAATATTTTAAAGCAGTTTCATAATCGTTAAAATTGTTCAGGGAGATTTGTTTCAGAGTCTGTAAATTTGGATTTCTTTTAATAACACAATCTATTTTATGGTTAAATTTATCTTGTAAGGGCCACTTTACGTTTTTTAAGTGTAACAATGTCGATTCAAATTTTTCCATAGCAACCGATAATTGTAAGTTACGGGTTTCAAGGAATTTTATAGTTTCTGGGAGACACGAAAAATAAGTCGCAAGAAAATTTAACTCCGACTGCAAAGTTGTTTTTGTTATTAAACCTTTACACTGAGTGATAGAGAGAGCGTCCTCTGATAAGTTGGAAATAAATACTTTTAGTCTGTCGAAATGCTCCGAAAAAAAGAACACAGCCTGTAACCAAGTTCCCCATCGTGTAATAACTGGTTGTGGAGGTAGGGGGATATTCGGACATATTTCTTTATATAAAGAAACTCGGGACGGTGCTTTTAACAAAATTTTTTTAAAACAGCTAATCAACGAATTAATGTCTGGAAAGCTGTCACGGATAAACTCACAAACTCGGTGTAACGCGTGAGCAAGGCAAGTTACATGCAGCATGTTTGGAAAATGTTCTTGTAATAGTTTCCCTGTTTTCAACATTACACTTGCCGCGTCTGAAATAAACAATAAAACTTTTGAAACGTCATTATCAATTACATTGTTCAATCCACGTTTCACTATTTCATAAATCATTTCAGCGTTCACAGTTTCACGAAACACACTAGAAACTAAATACTGTTGTGAAGTATTTTCAGCACTTAATAATCCTACAACAACATTAACAACACATCTACCCTTTATGTCAGTCGTTTCATCTGCACTAACCCAAATATATTTGCTGGAAATTTTCGTTTTTATTGCCGTCATTGCTTTATCGTACTGATTTTGAATATAATGTTTTCTAATTGTGGATTCATCCGGTATTTTACGTTTAGTATATTTACAAAGAAAATTTTTGAAAATTGTATTATTTAATTTTGTTAATGGAATATTTGCAGAAACAAATGCGTTGCATAAATCTTCATAAAAGATTTTGTCTGGACATCCCTCTAAAGATTGCATGTGTTTTTGTGTTTTCACATGTTGTGTCATACTTGACTTTCCATTAAAAACTAACACCTGATCACAATTGCGGCAGTATAATTTGTTGTCATTAAAACGACGAAAACAATCAAAGTCCGATAATAAATTTTCCATATTTACGTTTCCAGTTTCTATCACTTTTCCCTTTGAACTAAACAAATATACTCATTGGAAAAATCTAGTGATATTTTTACAAGACACTTTCTTCTCAAATCTCCTGTTTATCGACTCTTTGTTATCTTTTTACATTTTTTCAACCAACAGATACCTATATAGAGTGAGCAATTGAATTAATACATACATTACAGAAATTTAACAGACATTTATTTTATTGTCTCATCGTGTATAAGTACCATAATATCCACAGGAAATAAAAACATAAATTTTTTGTTACAAAAAATCGGTATGTACGGTATCGATAAAAGCCAAAATATTCATAAATATAATATAAGGATTGACTTTATTTGAATAAAAATATCACCGGCAACTAACCGACAATGGATCGAGAAAGTGGGCCTATTTGACATTCATTTTAGGCCCTCTCTACAGCGTCTTAGTC